TTTTATATAAATGAAAAAAATTCTTTTGAGGAACTTCGCTTAAATTCAATATGGAATGAAAAATAACAAATGCGACAAGGACTTTCAGGAAATTTTTAGAGTAGTTTATAAAATCAAAAAGATCATATTATATATTATTTATTCACTTATAATGCTTCTTTAATAAGTATTTATAATGTAATAATATTTATTTCTAAAAGTTTCAACTCAAAAGAAAATTAAAAGCTTCTTACATTTTACCTTGTTCATAAGATATAGTGAATAAACAAGTATGATTTAATTTATTAGAATTTTTTTAATATGGAACAAAATTAAATACATTTTTCTAGTTATTTGTAACGAAATAAATTATTATGAATATAAATAAGAATTTTAAAATTACGTTAAGAAAAAAAATTAATATAATATAACCAATATTATATTGTTTACGACTAAAGCTAGGACATGTAAGCAATAAAAATCATATAAATAGTCATAAAAATTATAACTTATATGAATTTTATAACTATTTATATGACTTTTAGTATCTAGATGACCTATCTCTATACATACAACCTTTAACATCGATGAATTATTTTAATTATCTCTTAATCGTCAAATGACAAGGAATAATATCTATATTAAGTTATGGTACATATCAGATATCTTATCTATTTTGCAACAGAATCATTAAATATGAGATTTAAATATGTAAAACTATAACTAAATTAGTAGAAAGTTACAGAATCAAATTTTATGTTATATATACAATATAGAATAATATCGTCACATGTTAAACAATCTAGTTTAAACGGTTTAAATTTACTCAATCCATTAAAAAAAATATTTTACAACATTTAATCTCTGTACATTTAATTATAATAATGTAATGAGCTATGATATAAATTAAACATAGTAATTATGGAGTATTTAACTTCTTTGTAAATTTCTTTCTATAATAAATAATTATAAGAATATTTGCCAAATATTTTTAGTATGTTTTATTAAAATGTAAAAGTAATATACAAGAAAACACTTCATTTATTAAATGAACTTATAAACTTTTAAACAAAGTTTAAAAGTTTATATGTTCAGATAAAATCCATTANATATTTAATTAACACTAAAACTACAAACTAGAACATGTTTAATTTAATTTTATTAACAAATCTTCATTTATACCAGGGATTTTTCTATTTTCACTATATTAAATTGTTTAAAAGTTATAGAAGGAACGAGCAATCATCTATTGTGAGATTATCATAATGTCGGTCTGCTATTTTTAATCATATTTTTAATTTATTTCATTTAAAATATGTGCTCTCCATCTCAAATTAGTAGTGCTTTGCCTTTGTACATCATACTTTTCCTGTTAACAACACAGTCGTGCCGCTCATCTGTCTAACACCTTTCAGGGAAAAAAGTTTTAAATTGAAATAACTTGACTTTCGATGCAAACCGGAAGTTTTTATATAGTTAATCGGGGCCTCTACCTAAGCTTTCCACATCTGGTCTCGACTTTCGTCTATCTAACTCCGTTCTCGATGTTAAGGAATGACAGACAACGGACGGTGGGAATTTATAGGTCTACAATTTTTCTAATTGCAGTCTAATTATTATAAGTAATTATAGTTATATACAATTTTTAAAATAAAATTTTTACTTACTTGATCACAGAAAATGGAACCGTTACGATGATCGAGATCCGGAGTACAGTATCCATTTTCTAATTCTCTATAACCGTCGTGGGACCAATAACTATAATCATACGTGAATTTTTTTGGTTGTTCTTTAGGTGCATCGGGATTATACAGAAGAGTAATATTCCCTCTCATCGTTACGATATTTTTCGCATTTCTCTGTTTTTCACGTTGATTGTATAATAGGTTAAAGTATAAAATAGTTCAATAATTTGGCATTTATTTATTTATACTGATCAATATAGTGATATATTGTATTACACAAGTAAAGGGCCGTAAATGAACAGTACAAATTCTATCTCACTATTAGAGAAACATTATTTTTCTTACATAACTTCAGACAATTAATATAATCATTATAAAGCTATCAATTTATTTTCACGTTATATAATTTTCTGTAATATATTTTTAATTTTAAATGGTAAAATTGTTCCTCTTAACGTTGTTTGTTATAAAACCAGCGTTTTTGTAAAGTCAACTTAATAGAAAGTAAACACATTTATTGGAGAAAAGAGAGATAATTAGGCTAATGTGTTCCATTTCCGTGGCCATTAATTCAATAAAGGTAAATATTTGTTCAAAGGGAGAAAGTATTGTTCGATCTGCCAAACATAAGTAGAAGAAGGACTAGGGGAGAAAAAATTCAGAACGGGAAAATATTATCTGTCACACAGATAAATAAATCTTGTACATTCCATTAGATGCGATAAAGTCTTATAACATAAAAAGGATTTCGGAAGTACGACCGTAAATCTATCCAAAAACTTTTTATTCGATTGACGATTCTGCTCTTGTTAAATTTTTTTCTATATTTTTCTTCGTGACGACAATAACTTTAAAATTATGGTATCCATTTTCTAATAGTAAATTCGATTTTAACGTTTAAAAATACTTTCGATACGCTTATGGTTTAAAACGTATTGAATTTCGACAATTCTGGAAATATAAAATCGAATATATATCTTTATATATAATTATTTTTCAAAGTATTGTAGTTTAAATCTGATTTGTTTCATATATATCTCACTTTTCGAAAATCTCAATATATATAATATATAAAAATATTGTATTAAAACAGTTTTAAAGCAATTCTAAATTCAAATTGGTAATAAAGAATATATATATTCATTGTTTTTTTAAAGAAAATAATCTGCAATATAAAATTTATTTAAAGTAATTATTATAATAATTTAATCTTAGTTTCAATTTCAAAGCCTATAAAATAACATTTAATATAATAGAAATATATATTAAAACAATATTTTCATTTTATTCTTTACATTTCTAACTGTTAAAACGATGCCATATTGCAAGAGGCATCTCAATGTAGCCTAATACTTAACAGCTTACCGTCTATCGCCTTCTAAATTATATTTTAACAAATAAATCAATATTTATCTAAAAGGTAGAGAGAGTCCTTTTAACCTTACTAGGTGTGCTCCTAGTAATATGTTTTAGTACTAAAACCGACTTTGTAACGGTGGTTTAGTACTAAACCACCCTTACAAAAACACTTTACAGAAGATATAGGCTACAATTTCTGCCAATAATCTCTATATGTAATATACAATACATGCATGAAAACTTATTATTACAGTATAAGTTATTATCAAAGAAAATTAAACTTGTACAAGTTTATTTTTCTTTGATAATAACTTATTTATTAAAAAAATAATAATGGACATTTTAACTACAAACAAATTCTATTTCAACAAATAGATCAATATTTCATACAAAAAGTAAAGAAAAAATGATATTAATAAATTTAAAAAAATAATTAGAAAACATATTTTTGCTTTATACGCCGTAATTCGTGTTTAGTGTCATAATTTTCAACATATTTTTCTCATTAATTTCTTCTGATTCAAAGAAAAATTTCATATAGAACCGTTTCTAGCAAGAAAAAACTAACTGGTATCGAAAAACAAAAATATTTCTCTTCGTATTTACGGTTGTAAAAGCAAATTTACTTTGCTTCAGTAATGTAATTGGCACTCGTAAAATTGTTGATGCTGAATAGAAANACATTATAAAATTAAAATCAAATTTTAGTGATAATTGCTAGAGAATGAAATACAAGAATCGAAATCTCTGTAATGAACAAATTACAATTTTTGGAGAATAATTTTAGCTAAATCTTTATGTTATATATTGTCAATTTTATAGTTAAAAAGGATATACTTAACGGCTTTTAAAGAAATTAATTGTAAACTTTAATGAAACTCTGAAAATTTTCGTTTTCTTAACGAATTATTCAGAACTAAAATGTAATAAACCTGATTAAAAAAACTAAGAAAATACAGTAATAGGCATAATATTCCTACAGTTTTAAAACTATCAAAATATATAATTGGGCAAACATATTTTGGTATAAATAAAAAACAGACGTATTGAATTTCGAAAAGACGTAAAGATATAACAATACGTTCCAACTGAATGTGAACTCAGTTTTATAAACATCATATGTGAGGCCTGCACTGGATCAATTATTGTAGCCGTAAATGCGGACATAATTGTTTTTTGCTTATTGGAAACAATGCAAAAACTAAAACATAATTATTAATGTTTTATAATTTAAATTATATTTTATTCGTTACAATAATATTTAAGCTCGTGTTTGGGATTTGTTTCCATAATAAAATGTGATTTATTGCATAAAAAGTTAATCTCATATTGAAGATTATGAATACGATTTGTATGTTGACACTATTTTTTTTTTTTTGTTTCTTAAGGTCTTTTGTAGTAAAAATATAAATTCTGGCTGTAAAGCTGTCAATGGAGAAACAAAAGTAAAACCCAAATGGGAGAAACTCAGCAGCACTGCAATAAAAGAAAAAGATTCGAATTTTAAAGAAACAATATGCTTTGTTTTAATGAAATCTTTGTAGACTTGCTTGATACTGATAATACGTTTTGCTTAGAATTTTTTTCCACTCAGCATCTAGATCTTGTCCTAAGTGAGATTTAAATTTAGGTTTTTCTGAAGGAAGCGCAATATTTTCATCTTGTCTCTTGTTACATTGATTGAATATATTTTCTTCTATTTTTTATTCATCAAAAAACTAAATATTCTATAAAAGAAGCTATATAACTATTTTTCTTTTAACATTGTTCAACTATTGTTTCTCGTATATATCAATAATAACATAAAATTTTTAATTCTTATATTTAATTACGAAGTTTAAATGTTTATAGTTTAAAGATCAATAACTTTTATATTATTATCATTAAATATTTATATTTATAAATTAATTAAAATTAAAAGATAATATTTTGATTAAAATATTCTACTAATTGTTTAAACATTTCCGATTTACTTACCTTCCTGCCAAATCAACTAAGTTAACTACTGAAGTTTTTGAAGTTTCAAATTCGTTTCTTTTTGTTTTTTGTATCAGAGTAATTCCAACAATAGTATGAGCTCGACTATAAGAAAGATTTTAAAATAAATTATGCATTAAATATTAAAAAGTATTTTTGTTTTTTTTTATAGTGTTACTAACCTGCTGGTGGCATTCATATTAGTTGAAGCTATACTCCTATTTGTCGTCCCTTCGTCGATTCTGCTCTCTATGTCTTTATGTTGTGTCACCAAAAATGTCTTCAAACCTTCCGCTACATAATTCAAATATATAAAATTTTGTTTAATATAAAATATTTGCCATTCTCAGTATATTATAATTATGCTAATACTTTACCATAAAATCCTTTCTTTGGATGTTCTCGAACTTTTAAACCTCTTTTCCTATCTTGTGTGGGATTCAGCAGATCGCGAACAATTTCATTATAAATTTCCAGCATACTAAATCGTACCTGTCAATATAAAGTAAAAAATGAAATTAAAATAAAGCATTGTAAATTTTTATAAGAAAATCGATTTATCAATTGATGTAATAAATCAGCTTTCATGCATAATTGAAGATAAATCGAAATAAAATATTTAGATTAAGAACTTATTGAATGATATGAGATTAATATAATAAAGTACAGTAGACCCCCCTATAACGTGGTAGATACGTTCCACTTTATAAGAATTTCACGTTGTAGGAATCCTTAAATACATGAGCCAATCGCAGCCCGACACGTGTGAAGTTTACGGACTACGGCTGTTTGAAAGGTTTTCTTCCATAAAATTAATCGATTCTAGACTAATTCGACTCAACATTTCCAAAACACATATAATTTTTTGGGAATAATCCGTATAAACTATACTATAAACAAAAAATTGTAGGATTACTTACCGAGTGTGCACCGTTCGACTACGCCCGTTGCTAAAGCTTGGTTTCGTCGCGGAACAGCGCATCAAACCGCGGCCGCGATTTCTGATATTATTTTTCTGCGAAAACTTCGTTGACCTTTGGAGACATCCTTAATATAAATAATTTTTATGGCCGTTAAATAAGAAATGTTTCTTTCACAAGAAATGTATAAAATTACAGTACT